TAATTATTATTATAAACACCTGCGCTTTTCTTACAACAATTTAACATGTCTGCCGTGAAAAAGACTTATGGCCAATACAACCAGAGATATTAAAAGGGTACACACTTCTGTATGAATGGTGTGGCACAATCTAATAAATATTTATTGTCAGATTTCCCCAACCCTAAAATAAACAATTATAATATTACAGGCCTTTAAATGCTCAGTAGCCTAATGCTGCTAATGTATATCAGAATCAATTTAAATCCAACTGAACACATACTGTATATAATTGTTTGGAATGTGACAGCTGTTCATTGAAGGTTTTTTAAATTCAGCTTTAAATCAAAAGGAAGGTAATCATACCTTTAATGAGCATTTACTTATTAAAATTAAATAAGTAGTCTTGTAGTCACTTTAAGGTTGCCCAGCAACCAGTGGAGACCGAGGGTTCATCAACAAATTGGGTTAGCCTACAAAATTAGTGGTTTGTGTGGGATGGAGTCAAAATTCCCAGCCTGAATGATGATTACACATCAGTTGTTTGAATTTAATGAGATACAGCTGTTTCCCCCCTTACCCAGTCTTTATGCTAAGCTAAGCTAATGGTGGTATGAGTGGTATAAACTTTGACTTTTAACTCTTAGAGAGAAAGCAACATATCAGCCAATTGTGATAGATAGATAGATAGATAGATAGATAGATAGATAGATAGATAGATAGATAGATAGATAGATAGATAGATAGATAGATAGATAGATAGATAGACAGAGATAGATAGAGAGAGAGGGAGCATGCGGCCAGGTGTCTTAGTTCCCCCCCCCCGTGTGATGACCTTTCTTCAGCTCAGACCTCTACAACACACACACACACACACACACACACACACACATACATAGTTGAGATTCATTATAGATTCATAAGTACCAACATGCCCCCAACCCCTCCTCACCAAGACATCATAAAGGTCAAGTTCATCTTCCTCAGTATTCTCTCTTTGTCTCCCCTCCCTCTCTCCTCGTTGTCTCTGGGGGCACTGCAGCAACCACAACAACACCAGCCTGTTGCCTGTGTATGCATGTGTGTGTGTGTGTGTGTGTGTGCGTGTGTGTGTGTGCATGTGTGTCTGTGTGTGTGTGTGTGTGTGTGTGTGTGTGTGTGTGTGTGTGTGTGTGTGTGTGTGTGTGTGTGTTGACTGTTAAGGATATAAGCCAAAGTAATATGAATACATTTCCATAATGTAGCGTGTTGAGCTTGACTGTAAGGTCTGCCAATCAGACACTCTGCGAAAACATTTCATCAACATTTTCTCAAGTCACCGCTGTAAACAACCCTGTCTGCCTTCATTACTGCCCACTGAAAGGCTCCTATAGATCTCTTACTGAACAGTGTCACACTGGGTGTCTGCTTAAAGACGTTTACAGTGTTTAATACATTGAGGCTAAGATAGATATGGGTGGGAAATAATGATCTATTATTTCTAACAGAAATCCTCAGTGTCTCTATGCAAAACATCAATATGTGACCATATTTTGGGATGACGCTTTCAGAAGATTACACAGAAGAAAATTCAGATCCATTTATAACATGGACATAATAAATAGATACAAATAAATAGAGGCTTTTTGTTGTTATTTTCAGTCACACTGAACAATCAAATATATAATGCAAAAGATTTGCATTGCTTGAGTCTACATTTTAAACTAATTTGAAGCTTTATTATGTTATTTAAAAGACCAAAATCCCAGACTATCTATTCTTATTTCACCTTATCAATATTGTATTTATATTGTTCTTTATTTGTGCATATGGACTTCTCTGAGGCTTTCTAATAAGGAAATGTTACAAAAATCTGATATATATGAGAGTTAGATTTCTTATTGCTTGGTTTTTCTATTCCCCAGGTTCAGATTAAAATGGAAGAACTGTCCATCCAGGAGTGGACGGAGATGTGGACAGGTGTCTGGACCTCACCTGAGCCACCTGACCCTGCCTTCTCCATGTGGGACAGCGAGCATGAACGGGTTACAGGAGGCACGGTAAACTATTTAGTTAACCGCTGCACAACGCGGTTCGATTTAGAGGTCTTCTTAACTCATATTTTAAAAGAGAAAAGTAGCTCTAAAATCATATTCTGGTCTTTTTTTCTGTAATATTCAACAGCTCAGTGAGAATTTTTTTTATTGAGTTTCTCATTGAACAGCAGAGAGACGGACTGTAGCGTTAATATAATCCAGAGACACACCCTGGAGCTGCTCTGCAGACAGCTCCTCACACACTCGTGGTGGTTTTACTTGGATATATTTTGCATTTTCTGATTTACATTCAAATCAAAACTACTTAGATGTAAAGTTCATAATCAATAGATCCAGACACTAATGAACTCCACAGTGATGGCGATATTAATTATTCAAGTCTGGTGCTCTGATTTGGACTTTCTTGAGAGGGTTGTCATATATCGCTTTAGTGTTGCAGCCATTGGAATATAATGTACATTAGGTTGAGTTTTACCTTTAACTTGTACTGCTATTATTGATTTTTGCTATAGAAATCAGTGTTTTATCAGTTTAATTAAAGACAAAGAGCAGCATGGTTTTTATTTAAGCATTGTTAAACTTCTTGACCTTAAAAACAGCTAAATGGACCTTGTGGTGAGATTAGCTATGACACCTGGGAAAACTACATCTGCTGATGAAGATTATATAATATGATCAAAAGCTCCAGAACAGCTACTAACTGGATCTTTTAGTGAGATTTGCTTTCTCAAATATTTAGTATTTAGTAGTGTGTTAAAATAAAAATAAAATCACATATAGAGGCACATGTGATTTTCTGATATTCCTCATGTAAAATACAGCATCACATCAGCTCTACAGTTAATACACATGTGGATGAGCATAAGGTTTTAGGACACTTCAACATGTGAACATATAGATTTCACTGTTGTGATTGTTGATAAGGGATGAGTGTAATTTATTGGTAATATTACCAATGTATTACCAATGGAGTCTAATGCCTTCTTCTCCCTCCCTCTCTTTTTCTCTCCCTCTCTTTTTCACACCATCTCTCTCTCTCTCTCTCTCTCTCTCTCTCTCTCTCTCTCTCTCTCTCTCCACACACACACACACACACACACACACACATACCACACATAGCAGTGGCAGCTCGGTGCTCCTGACTGACTGACAGCACCGGCGGATGCGAGTGACAAGCGGGATGCTCAGGTGGCGGCGGCGGCGTGCTCTCTGTGTCCTGTCAGTCCCTCTGCCGGTGGAGGTGGGCTCCGTTAACTGATAACACCTGTTCAGAGGTAAGAAAAACCCTTCCTGTGTTTTATCCTTGTTTCTCACTGACATGTGAGGTTGCCTCAGATTTAGTCTCGCAGTCAGACCGGCTGATTTGCCCGGAGCAAAGTAAGCTGTACCTGGTCATGTTGTCTATGGTGCTGTCTCTGTGTCTGGATCTTGTAATTTTTTTTCATTTTTAGTGTATTCTGGGTTTTTTATTCATCTTTATGGCAACGTGTGGCTCAACAACTCGTCATAAATTATGTAATAACTACTAATTAGAGTCTATTTAAAGGCTTACGTCTGTATTGCAATTTATTTTATGTTGTCAGATTTTGTAATTACCTGTTGGTACCAGCAGGGGCGCTGTTGGGAGTAATTTCGCTGGACTGACATAGAGCTGCGGCAGATAGAAACGTTATGATCGATAAACCAATATAACCAATTTAAATATATACTGTCAATGCTTTAAACTCTGTTTGATAGCAACTTATTTAATGCACCAGTGGTGGAAACTAACAAATTTTTACTCCATTACATTTATCTGACCACTTTAGATTCTAGATACTTTGCAGATTTAGTCAGTTTAGTTTATAAAATAAGATAAAATAAGATACACTTTGTGTATGTACCTATATGTACCTGGTGTTTTTACAGTGTGATATTGCTACTTTTACCTAAGTAAATTATCAAAATGTTTTTTCCACCGCTGTGCACTGCGTAGCTATGGTAACTATAAGAACTTGAATAAATAGTGGAAGTAATCGCTTTAGGAATGGGCATCAGAGAGGATTGATACTACGACTGGCATTGTACGAGATAATTCCTTGAACATTGCAAGCTTTGGATTTACTATTAACACTACGCCACTGTTCACACAAGTGCTGTATTTCTAATTACACATTATGGTGTTATTTAAGTTCAGTAAGCCGTAGTGGAGTAACTAAGTACATTTACTCAGCTACGATTCTAAAGTACTTACATTTTATGGCATTTCTACCTCACTACATTTCAGTGGAAATATTGTACTTTTTATTACAGCTCATTTATTTGACAGCTATAGGTACTAGTTACTTTGCAGATAGAGATTTAAAGAATCTATAATCAGAATATAAAGTGCAATGAATCAGAATCAGGTTTATTGCCAAGTAGGTTTTCACATACAAGGAATTTTGGTGCATGACAATTAAACATTGCACATAAAAAAAAGATGAAAATAGAGACAATATATATATATATATATTTGTATATATAACAAAAAGAGATAATATGTACAATATGTCTGGATACTTAAATAAATGAGTGAAGAGCTGTACAGGAATGTGCAAAAGAAAATTGTCCGGGGAAATCTGCAAGTTAGCAGTGTGACATATAAAGACATTATATAATGTGCAAAGATAAAATCAGAGGATTAATGTAAATTAATGTAACGCATAGATTCAGGGTGGGTGGCGGGTTTAAGAGCCAGTGTCAGTGGAGGACCCCGGGGCCTTGTTGATGACACCGGCTAGTATTTTTAGTGTTTAAAAAAAAAAAAAAACCTACAAATTGTTATAGAGTAAAATAAACCACAAAAAAAACTACATAAAAGTACGTACTCCACTCCAACTAGCTATAACATTATTGTTTATATGTGGACGTCTCAGGAATCCTTTTGAGCTCGCTTCTAGTCGACGTAGTTCTGTGACGCACTACGCACCGCACGGCGTCGGCGTCGGCGTGCACGCACGTATTCTCTCGCTCTGTATTATTGCTCAGAAACCAGCCACCATGGGGAGTTAAGGGGGTCAGTCGACGGGTTATTTTCGTTAATATTTAATATCAGAAAGCTATCCATATGCTGCGTTTTGGAGCACACAGTTCGCGCCAGTATCCCCAATGCAGCGGATTACGGGGGTCGGGCTTTCAGAGACGGTAGGAGGCACTTTTGTGGGGAAACACGGGACGTTAACGCACCTAGCTCTAAGCTACCCAGCTAACAGGCTAACCAGAACTAGCTGCAGCCAGTAGAGTGGCAAAAACGTGCCCTCGCTTTCTTGTTTAGTTTTGAGCTTAAATCGGCCCAATTGTCGCCGGTGGTGAGCAGGAAAGTTGGAGTGACTTGTGTGCGAGTTTTGGCCCGGCACGACCAAAAAAAAAAGCGTACAGAGTGCGCTTATGTTGAAGTGTGTCTGCACGCAGGCCCCGTCTTGTGTGGTTGTAGAGTTTGTTTCTGCACCCATCCCCCACCGTCTTTGCAGGCCAAGATGAATGAGATTCTCACTTCAAAGCCCTGGCATTGGTGGTGGCATTGCTACAAAGGCTGGCTCGCTGTCTTAGCTCGTTAACATTAGTTGGTTGTTTAGAAAATGAAGTGTAACGAAGACGAAGTGTGAGCTTTGTTTTGACAACTGCTGGCGCTAGCTTTTGAGCTAGCTGTTAGACTGGCGACAAAAAAAACTTCATCGTGAACTTAAGTTTGGGGTTTTGAGCACAGCTTTGAGTAGTTTTTGGTCAGACTGGAGTCTTGGTTGTTAATTGGAAGTTGATTGATGGTGTTAATAACTATTGCTGTTTTGTGATTCTCTTCATTCTCCACCACACTTGTCTCTGTCCTCCTCCTGGTTTCTTTTATCTATCTGTTCTGCTTATCATCCCATTGGGGTCTCTCTTTTGTTTTTTAATACTAGTGCTATGTACTATATAAAAATAGTAGTCTGACACAGTGAAGGATGTTAGAAATGAGTCAGCCTTCTGCATCATCTTAGTAATAATGTTTATTTCCTGTGTGTCGACTCCCACTGCTACAACTAACCGCCTTTCTTGTTTCCATCGTAGGGTGAATTGTTTGACAGCAAAATCATTGCTAGAGGGCAAGATCTGACCTCTGCCTTGTGCAATCAGAGACATGAGTGTTGTCAGAGAATTACATGGGATTGGGTACAGGGGCGGTGGCGGGGTTGTGGCCTCCCTGAGCGGCCCTACCCACTTTACCGAGGATGCTCCGCGACCCCCAGTTCCTGGCGAGGAGGGATCTGATGTGGACCCCCCAGTTCCGTCAGCCAGCACCCGTCCTAACACCCTTTCCCAAACCCTCGGCTATCCCCCGTTGTCCTCGTCATCTAAAATGGGGGATCCATCAAGTTACACACCCTCCTCGTCGTCTGCGACCCCGCGTCGCCCTGATCTGGACCTAGGGTATGAACCCGAGGGCTCGGCTTCACCAACTCCACCTTACCTGAAGTGGGCAGAGTCACTCCACTCTCTCCTGGACGATCAGGAAGGCATCCAGCTGTTCCGAACCTTCCTGTGCCAGGAAGGGTGTGCAGACCTTCTCGACTTCTGGTTTGCTTGCTCGGGGTTCAGGAAGACGAGCCAGGAGAAGAGGGCAAAGCTGGCCAAGGCCATGTACAGGAAGTACATTGTAGACGGAAGTGGGATTGTCTCCAGGCAGATCAAAGCAGCCACCAAGAGCTTCATCAGAGACTGTGTGGTACGGCCGCATCCAGACCCTGCCATGTTTGAACAGGTAATTAAAGTACTTATTTAATGTTTGTAAAAGTTCCTAATCAGAGCAGCAGGTGTTGGATTACACAGGTCAGTGGAAGATGTTACAGGTTTCTCAGAGGTTGTATTTTGTCCCTCTCAGTGGTCAGGCTTAGAGATTGAAATTTTAGGCTATTGAGGTTTTAGCGTGCGCAAAACCGCATTGCTGTGCAGGTTGGCAGAATACAGCAACTGAAAATGCATTACGCCTGGCAAGATAATGTACGACACGCAAAAGGTACCGTAATTAACTTCTATGGCAACGTTGTCCAAAGACTGGTGCTGAGAACTGTGTCTTTTTCTCACAACATTAAATCTTTTCCCCAGTACACAGTTGGTTGGCAAGTGTTTTGGCTTATGATTATTAAGCCGTCGTAGTTCAGTTATGTTTCAGTGTTTACATCTAGATTAGAGGAACCTGACAGCCACGTCTGCTTCCATAATGACTGGTGTAGCACGTCTTTTAACAGGCCAGAAGTTGTAGACGGTATGCACTTTTAAGAACACGCCAATTTGCGTTTAATTTGGAGTATAGAGAGTGTGCTACTGTATGTATTCATTTTCTGTGGATGAGTAATCACATTAATTGGAAGATTAATCATATTTGAAGTCAGACTAAAGGCTGCATAACATCTGTTGCAGGTTCCTCACAAGGTTCCCGGGCTCCCAAACATGTTCTTGTGGCCACTTAGGGTTGTTACAGCCTTGTAATAAAACAAAGTTACAAAGAAAGGATGCAACTACAGTTCCACACATTTCTCTAGTCAGTAAACCCACAACAAAGGACCAAGTTAGGTTCAGTTTTAGTTTCAGGTTAGTTTTTCGCTCAGTGACCCACCTGTGCCCTCTTTTGCCTGTGAATTCTTTCTGTCTTTCTTGATATGACGTGGATCTGCTGAACGTGTGTTAAATGTTAAAGCCACATACACATGAGACTGCTATCACAGGTCTTGTTAACTGAGACTCGAGTCTCCGACAGTAGTTCCATGCAGAGCACCGCTAAACAACACAATTACACAGAGTGAGATCACATAATTACCATAATGAAGCTAGCTTCAGTTTTAGTTTTCCTTGCAGCAAACCTTTTCCTGTGCTCTCCCGTGCTTTTGTTTCTATTGCTTTTTTATTTTTTTGAAGATTCTGGTAGTCAGGTGAATGTTGTTTAAATAAAAACGTATTACGTTTTTATACCTGCTTAAAACATGGCTTCCAAGTAGCGTCCGACTTGTATTCGATGGGCTGTCATAAAAGCAGATGCACATGGACCCACTGACACTGACCTTCGCCTGGAAATAATGCACCTCACTCTGTGTCAGTCTGGATTAACTATGAGAAATATTAGTATTAGTGAGTTACATAAATGCGTGTTTACCCCGTGTGTCTGGAATGGGTATTAGTTTTCTAAAGAACCCTATAGTGATCATAGTATCCTATCTTGTGTTCACATTTATATCAAAAGCTGAGCAGTGTTGTTTTTAAGCCTAAATCAAGAGAAAAGCAGTGAGTTGCCAGGCCCAGACCTTGCAAACAATTTGTCTTTGCTTCAGTCTGGAGGGAGTATGTGTCATCGATGAGTAGGTGGACTTGATCATGATTAATTATCTGACTATAATTAGAAATGGTGTGAAATGAAGGTATCTTTAGCCATCGTTTAGCTTTGTACCAACTCACTGTTTGTTTGTTCCAGGCCCAGACAGAGATCCAGAGCATGATGGAGGAGAACACCTACCCTTTGTTTCTTAAATCGGATCTGTATCTGGAGTACACACGGACAGGAGGAGAGAGCCCCAAGCCTAACCCCAGCGACCAGAGCCCTTCATCGGGTCCAGCTAAGCCTGTGCCTGGGTACTTACCCACACTCGCAGAGGATGAGGAGTGGAGGTGAGATAATGCCCAACTAGTGTCATACATTGCACAGGATCCATGCTTTTATAAGAATAATTAAAAGATAAATTCCACAGATGTTTTCTGAGTTCAAAACTAGCAGAACTAGAAAACATTCTCATAACCTGTGAAATAATTCATGTTTCTGATGTTTGACTAACGGATATGATTTAATCTGATTTAAGGTGTGGAGGAGGAGGAGGAGGATTGGGGGAGGTGGAGGAAGAGAAAGATGAGGAGGAGTGTGGAGACACACCAGCTGGTAGGCTGACTCACAGCCTGCTGATGCAGACAGCACCGCAGAGATCCTCGACCAACAGGAGGAGGCCAGACAGTAGAGAGTACAGGTGTGTGTCTGTGTGTGTCCTTGGGTTCATAAAGAAGACCTCAAGGTCATAATATTTGCCACCACATTCTGTTATATTGAGATATCTTTGAAGTTCGTATCAGATCATTTCCAGCCAACATTGGTAATGATAACAATATTTTCCCCTTCCTTTCTTCTCATTTTTAATACAACCATGACTACTGTACACCAGTGTTTCTTTACCCATTAATAGTTTGTTTTGGTCCAAATGCGAAAGTCTTTTCTGATACATTCTATGTCAAGGAGAACAAACAAATGCAAGTACATTTCATCATAGGAAAAGTCTGTTGGTTGTTTAGTTAAACCCTTTTTTATCCCCACAACAATGTTTAGCTTGTTCGACTTAAAATCTATAGTTTTCTGTATAAAATTTAAATGTTGTGTTACAACGTTTTATTTACAAGTTGTGATAACTGTTATCTGGTCACTGAAGAAAAATAAATCTTAGATATTAGATAGTTAAAACGAGCAGGAAAACAACCCTGCTAAGTCAGAAGCAACCAAACGAGAACTCCTGGTCCTAGAAATAGTGTTTAATTGAAAAACCCTCAAAATTCATGGATTACTCCTACCTTTATGTTGACCCGTGCCTGTGTGTGCATGAGAATGTTAGCTCACTACATTACGATCTCTCCCCCCACCCTCAGGCCCTGGCGGGAGCCGGTCAACCCATACTACGCTAACATGGGCTACGCTCGTGCTCCAGCAACCAGTGCCAACGACAGTGAGCAGCAGAGCATGTCGAGTGATGCAGACACACTGTCGCTGACCGACAGCAGTGTGTAAGTACACACAGATGAACCCAGAATGACTGCATTTATTTATTTATGGATTTCATTCAGTTCTGGATGTGTTTAATGACAATGAGGCTCTTCCAGGTTTTCGGACTGAATGTTAAGATTTCTGTCTAATTGTTGTTTGTCTGTGTCCTTGTACAGAGATGGTATTCCTCCATACAGATATCGGAAGCAGCATCGTAAAGAGATGCATGAAAGTGCCAAAGCCAATGGACGTGTGCCCCTACCTCATATACCTGTGAGTTCATCATGATCATTGATATTATCACTGCTGTAGTCACGTGGCGTTAATGGTAACGAATGCAGCTTTATTTATTACTATAGCAGACGACAACAAATACCTGAGGGTGGTGTTATACTATCTGATGTAAAATATCATTATGAGCTTTCACAGTTTTATGTCTTTCACTTCAGTGTTGTTCTCCTTTTATGTGCCATTTAATGGTTATTATGTTATTCCTGCCTAAATTTGTTGATGATTTACATGTTAATTTACAAAAACAACATCTTTTTAGCAGCAGACGTGTATAGGAATTTGTGGCATGTAATATTTTTGCTTGTGTCTATATACAGCGCACGTACCGCATGCCAAAGGACATCCACGTAGAGCCTGAGAGGTTTGCAGCGGAGCTCATCAGCAGGCTGGAGACAGTTCTCAGAGACAGAGAGGCTCAGGAAAGACTCGAAGAGAGGCTGAAGAGAGTACGACTGGTGAGTGTTTTACTGTGTGTGTGTGTGTGTGTGTGTGTGTGCGTGTGTGTGTGTTCTCGTGCTTCGAGTTCATGTTGTTCCTCAGAGATACGTACTGAATCGTGAGTGAAATTGAACATGAACTTTTACAGTTTACCTTGTTAGTTATGTGAAACTGTGGTTTGTTCGGCCAATCAGCTCGCAGTGAGTTCAGCAGCCGCGCAGGAGAAACACAGATGGTGTGTTAGGATTTTATAAATGAACTCTGGATGGGAAGCACACTTGTTATTTCTTTGACAGTGTGGAAATCTGATATATCACTGCTTCGGAAAAAAATCCAAAATTTGTATGAAACCAGTGACCCAGAGTTGATGTGAACAATTCAAATTCTGGCTTCCAAAGCAATTTTTATCTTCTACGCAGTTAAACAAAACCTTGATGTACGTAATATTTAAAAATGGCTTATGTACTTTTGCTGTTGTACAACAAGCTGCATACACTGGGAATAAAAGCTAAATGGGGTTCATGGATCAGCTTGATGGAATTTATGCATACAGCTTAAAAATTAAATGTTGGCAGGATTGGTTTTTCCTCCCTGATGAGTTTTATTTTTCAGGGAAGAAAAAAACTTGAAAACAAGAAAAAGTGATATTAGTGATAGTTAGTTATAGTAAAATAGTTGTAGAGTTTTGCCTCACTCCTTGGCCTCGTATGTACTTACTGTTTTGCATACAGTGCATGTCCACTTCTATAATAATAATATTTGTCTCCTTCTCCTAACAGGAAGAAGAGGGGGACGATGCTGACATCTCCGTGACAACCTCCATGTCTTCTCATAGCATACCACCCCCCCTCCCCTCATCGTTTCCACCTCTCTACGGCGCCCGTTATTCAGAGACCACTGCTAACACGGCAACAGTCGCCACTTATGGCGGCCTGGTTGCCATGGAGGATTCCCATGACGACGACCCAGAATCTATTTTGGATGAGCATGTACAGCGTGTGATGAAAACGCCGGGCTGCCAATCGCCGGGGGCAACCAACAGCACCTTAGGAGGAGGAGGTCGGCATTCTCCTCCCAAATCATCGCGTTCACCTGACGGGGGAATCGGCCCACCTCACTACCCCCCACACCGAGGAGGAGGTCACAGTCTGCCTGCTGCTGGGGTCAAAGGTAAGAGGCTGGGGAGGGGAAAGAGAGAGGGACTGAAAGGGTGAGAGATCAGAGAGACCAAACTTCTTAACACACTGCCAGCGTACAGTGAGCATCAAAACATCCACCTAGTTTCTTATTGTGAGCAAATTCAATGAAAAGACCCAGACCAACTCTGCATCAATCCATCTTTATTTTCTCCCCTGCTCTGTCTGTGTCAGTCCCAAAACCATTGTTCCAACTGAAGATATAAATCTCAATATTTTGTTAAAGTTTTTTAAACAAAAGTTCAGTAATTTCCCAAAAATTCTTGGCAGGGTGTAGTTTTTAGCAAAACTTTGCTCAAACAGGAATAAATGGTACTTGTGGGGACTATTTTCAGCAGTGGATGAATACACATTTGGTGCTTGAGTAAATATTTACAACTGCATGAGAGTGTGTGGGCTGTATCAGACAATCAGATATCACCAGCCTTGTAAACAACAGTACAGTCCTGACAATGTTAACGTTTCCTGGTAAGCCATAGCTTGAGAGATTGGATCTTCAGGTGTAGAATCGTGTGAGATAACAACCATTTCTGATTTCTGTCCTTCATATTATGCTTCAAATGCTGCGTGGGTTGGTTAGTATGCCACCAACAAGTCTATTTCTGATGTCTGTCTCAGGTTTGCATCACCACAAGCAGCCGTATCATCACAGAGGAAGAGAAGGGCAGGAGGAGGCGGGCTCTAGGTCGCAGGCCAACTTCCTGTGGAACGGAGACCCAGCCAGCCAGTATGCAGGGAGAAGTCGTAACTACGCTGACGGGGCTGGAGCCAGCACGCTTGAGGGCATGGGTTACAGGTAGGATAGTGTGGTTGTATGTGCTGGCATTAGATAGGTCTACAGTATGTGTACGTGCTGTCTTTTATTCAGATGACCTCAACTGGTGTGTGTATGTTGTTGCCTGTTCGTTCTACAGTAGTAAAGGCAGCACGCTATCACGGCGAGGTTGTAAGAAGGCATCGGAGACATCGGGCAAAAGTGATGAGAGTGGGCGTGGCGTGGAGGCCCAGGTACCACTGGAGGACCTGGAGAGAAACCAGAAGATCCTGCAGTGGATGATGGAAGGAGACAGACAAAGGAAGACCTCACATGGGTGAGTAACTATACGTATATTACTCATGATTGATATAAAAATGTAATTTCTCATGATTAATACTTTAAAATAACTTTATAAATGGATTAAATTCACGTTTGTTATTTTGATTTAAATATAACTGATGTGGCAGGTGTAAAGTCTAGGATAAAAGATACTTATTCAAGCAGTGTGTCAGATTAAAGGTAGCAGTATATTGCAGGTCAATAGATGCTTTACTGGATCAGTAAACCCTGACATGCATCTAATATGACGTAAAGCCGTGTAACATAAAACAAGCTGTAAACACAATATTGTAATATTATCAAGATGATCAAGCAAACAGTGGTCTATTAACACGTCCAGCAGACACAGAAGCAACTTTAGCATTCATCTGGAGTTATGTTTGTGTCCATGTGCTGAATATAAGTCAAGTATTCACTCTCCTTTTAGCCCTGTTATGGCCACCAACTCCATTATGTTCACCGGCTGGAAGCAAACTTTTGCTGATTTTGTTTCCTGTTTGACCCTGGGTGACGCTCTCTTCTATATATTTTTAGTCAAATCCTTTGATATTAACCCTGTCTCCCTCCCTGTTGTTGCTCCAGTGGCAGCACCAGTAGCTCCAGGAGGGCGGGAACCACCAGTGAGTCACCACGTCCAACTTCAGTGGAGCGACCTGGAGCTGTGCACCCCTGGGTCTCTGCCCAGCTGCGTAACAACCCCTCTTCGGTGTCCCCCGCCATCCCCGGCTCATCGTCCACGCAGGTCCAGCCCTCGCACCCTTTCATCCAGGACCCAGCTATGCCCCCAAACCCGGCTCCCAACCCACTTACCCAGCTGGAGGAGGCTAGGAGGAGGCTGGAGGAGGAGAGGAGGAGGAACGCACTACAGCAGGCTAAGCAGAGGTAGGTGTCACGTTAGTTTTATTTGTATGGCCCTAAAACCAGAGGGTTTAACTTGTGTCTATGTTTGCATGTATTCCTATTTGAGTGTTTTGACATGGATCTTGCTCTTTCTAAGGCATAAGTCTGGCAAGCGACAAGTGTGTGAGAACATGACTGTTGCTTACTACTTTTGTGGAGAGCCAATCCCATACCGAACATCAGTCAAAGGCCGCGTGGTGACTTTGGGCCAGTTCAAGGAGCTGCTTACCAAAAAGGGCCATTACAGGTGAGCGCATGTGATGCATTTATTTCAAAATATATAGTGTGGGTGGGAATGTCCCGTTTTAAAGGAACCATTCCGTCAAAGTCGGACTCCAAAAATAATCAAGCACGTCTTTTTTTTTTATGTGTGCAGGTTCTACTTTAAGAAAGTGAGCGACGAGTTTGACTGCGGTGTAGTGTTCGAGGAGGTTCGAGACGATGATGCCATCTTGCCTATCTTCGAGGAGAAGATCATCGGGAAGGTGGAGAAGGTTGACTGAAATTTGGGAACAGAAAGATGACACAGAATTGCAAAAAGATCATATTGGAGGGGGGGAAAAAAAGGAGATAGGAAGAGAACATTGGGGTTGGATAGAAATTCAGCTGTGAGAAAAACGAACGAAAGAAAGTAGAAAGATGGAAGGAGCGATGTGTGACAGAAGGGAGATTGCGCTGCATGGTAGAAGCTCGAGTGTTAAGGAGGTGGTTAGTTTTTATGGAATATCTGGATATCTGCGTCATGCCTGGATCAAACCCACACACAGCGAAAGAAGCTTGGCCAGATGCAACCGGAGTGGAGGAAAGGAACATAAATTATTTCACCTGTCTTGTCTCCACTGTGGATATTCGAGGAGCGCTGTTAAAATCTGATGTCTGACCAGTCTTCCACTTCCACTGCGATGGATGGAAAAGGGTGAGGGGGGGGAGGGGGACTGCTGGAAGGAGAAAGAGGATAAAGTAGTCTTCCACTTCTGCTCTGGAGGAGCCTGTCCTCCGCAGACCATTACGATGCTGCTACATTACCACGGAAAACTCTTCAATCGGTGCTTGGGACAGTAAAGAAAGCAGTTTTGTTCCATTCGGGAGTCTCGCTGCCTTTTGCTGTCTCTGTTCCTCATCAGCTGGTTACAAGGGGAGAGGACAGAGGATTTGGGGGAGTGGACCTTTAGCCTGCTTCTCCTCTTGTTGACTTCATAGCCTCAAAACTGAAACTTTCTCACCCTTGATTCCTAGATGTCATGTAGTGATCTCTCACATCAACATGTTCAGACAACAGTTCTCCACACAACTTGTTTACCAAAGCTACATATTTTTGATAAGACAAGTATCCTAGCTACTTGTTTCATTTTATTTGAATTGTGTATGTACAAGGCAGGTACTATTACTTATTAATGCAGCCTAATTTCGTTATATCTCAACTTAATGTTGTATTATTGTGTATGTTTTGAAGCTAGTTCATTAGTCATTTCAGGGCAGCCATTTTGTTTGTTTTTCCTCCCTCTATAATACATCGTGCACCTCAATCCTGTACTGTTTACCTGTTGAGCGTGCAGTTCTGTTCTCCTGAGCGATGGATTTTAATCACAAGATTGCTTTTTTTTTTTTCCACCCTCAAAGTTTATCATGAAAAACAAGAGCACACACTACAGGTGCACTATCTTTGACCACAGTATCTGTTGTTTTTAAACAGGTCACACTGTCACCTCATTTCCATCATATTTTTCTGCTATACTGAGAGCCTGTGTACGTAACTCCAAACCCAAGTCTAGGTGCCTGCCTGCCTGCCTGGCCAGTGCCATTACTATCTAGAATGCTTATTCTGAAGCGTGTGGGTGGGTGAGTGTGAAAGCCTGTGTCTTGTATGCCTGAACTCAGCCAAAGAGCATATTGTGCGTCCCATATGCCTACCAGCGTGTGTCTGTGCAGTCCCACAAGTATCAAGTGATTTTTTTTTTTTTTTTTTTTCCATCAGGAGCAGAAGGGAATCTTCTTCCTCTTGCAGATTCCTAAACTTCAAACATCGTAGCTTAATATTGAGTTTAAAATCTGCAGTGATTAAAAGGATAGCGTGACCCTTTGGGAAAGGTGCTTATTTGCTTTATTGATAAGAAAAAGATGAGAGAGTTGATACCACTCTGGTGTCTATACGTCAAATATGATGCTAGAAGGTCAGCAGTGGGTGAGCTTAGCTTAGCATAAAGACTGGAAATGGGAGGGAAAGGGCTGGCCTGGCTTTTGTATGAATTAAACAAACTTGGGCTGCTACTGATTTTTATTTTTTTTTAAATCCTCTTATTATCAATTCTGGATTAATTGATTGTCCTGTGAATGTCAACGGATCACAGTTGCCTGCAGCTCAAGTTGGTGTCTTAAACATTGCAGTTTGAAAAGTCAAGATTTTCAATTCGCTGTCATAAAAAAGGAACATTTTAGGAACTGGAACTTGTGATAGACATTTCTGTTTAAAAAATATATTTAAATTAATTACCAAAATTGTTACCAGTTATTTTTCTGTTGATCATCTAAACAATTAATTTAACTTTCAGCTCTAGAACAAACTAGACGTAACGTTTAAACTAGTGAGCCTTAGAGGTGCCAGGCTAGATTTTTCCAGTCTTAATGTTAACCATCTGCAGGCTGTAGCTTCACCTTTAACGCACAGACATGGGAAATGGTCTCAATCTAGCTCTCAGCAAGACAGCAAATAAGTGTATTTCGCAAAAAACGTCAAGCTATTCCATCAGACTTCTCACATCAGTATAGTAGTGCAGTACGGCCAGAATGAGGCCAGAATACCATAAAGCACCGTGCAGACAATGCACTGATCACACACCAGCTGTGTAAGCTGAATGTAATTTGACTTTTTTTAAACTTTTACCCGCTATATCCTCAAAGGAAATCCCTTCATTGGTCGTGTCATCACGTCTGTCTTCAGTATTGATCTCAAACTGTTGGCCCGAGTTGAGAGTTTTGTGTTATCTATGCTGGTAGTTTAATGGAATGTGTCCGTCAGATAAAGAGGTCCTACTGTACATCTTGCAGGAATGTCGAATACAATTTGTCCTGGGTTTTCTGCCCAGTAAGGGAAAACGTAGGATCGGAAAACATATTTGTCCTCACTTCAACCCATTATGCCTTCAATATGAAATTTAAAATTTAGATATGTATTTGTTTATAAAAAAAAATGTAATTTTAATAATCACCAAGCATGTTCTTTATAAGGAATGTTTTCCTGATGAGTTGAATTATCTATTTTGTTTTAATGTTTATGTGCGAACTGCTACGGCCCTCTGATTATATTTTATCTGTTTTGTTAGAACGCCCAGGGACAGTTGAATGACAACATTTGTTAAGAGATGATTCTTGTGATTACGATTCGATGGACAAAACAAGCAACTGCGTCTGTTGTGTTGTCAGTTTGTGTGAAACACAGTGCCTTTATCATGTTACCTTTCAAAATATCTTTATTGAACCAATCCATGCTTTTAATGTAACTTTTTATCTTCAGTCAGTCCCATTGTATCTTTAGCTGCAGTCAATGCTTGCTCACGTCTGTTCTGATAGATCCTCTGCTGTAAATATGTACATTATCATTTCATATGTGTCTTCAGACCTGCACCACATGTTCATGGTGTTTCTGTTTTTCAAAGGTAAACGCCAAGATGTCACTGTGCTGGTTCCACTTGTACATTTCTTTTAAAAAGGTACTTCATAATAAAGATGTTGAATAAACACTTCTTCTCTTCTCTGTATTATTTGATCGATTATTTATTTATTTATTTACCCTAACAGGAAATACTGCACATGCCTTTTAACCCTCTCTTTTACCATATAGGTCTTTTCCAGAGTAGCTAAGTGGAATTCAGCCATCCTTAATTTTATTATTTACACCTGAGCTTCTACTGTGATGCCAAAATGTGAAAAAGGTTTATTTCTTAAGTATTTTCCACCAACGTATAAACGCTCTTGTACATGATCAGTGGTGGAGTACGGCTCTGAGGTTCTTGTATTAAAGTATTTCCATTTTCTTCTACATAATTTCACAACACTTCAGAGATTGTTGATGAATATAGTATTTTCTTTTTGTTCTGCTACATTAAACTGAAAGCTTTACTTACGTACTATTTACTTTGCAGATTTCCTGAAACAAACATGTCAGATATCAAATAACTTACAATCGGATGCATTGTTGTATATTAAACCAGTCAGTAATGTGTATAATATAGTTAATCAATGACAAACTAGATATATTTATGTGTAAAATAAAATGCTGTGTGTTAATGTTAAACGGTTACTGGTTAGTGGTTATGACTGAGTAATTAGTAGTAGTAGTAACTTTTGATACTTTCACCATATAATGCTGTTAGTATTAATATTATTATTGCATAATACTTAACTATGTTAGAGTTACTTAAGTAGATAAGGTTTCACTTATCTTTATACTGCCACTTTTACTGATGGAAAGCATCTAAATAAATTCCACCACTGCTCGGGATGCATGCTTATGAATATAAATCTGAATGTCATTAGACAATAGAGAAATGTTTTACCTATAAATGTATTTGAAGAGGACCGTGAAAATACTTTTACTCTTAAACTTTAGTAAGTAATTGATTAGAGTTCCTTCATCTTGTCTGCACAACACATCTCCATCACGTCAATACATTAATCTCCATGACAACGGTGCAAACTCCATCCACTGATGAAGACGGTATGATACAGTTCAAAGATAGTAAGTGAATCTTGAGTTCTTATTTATGTGTTTTTTGGTCACACTACTATTTCTTCTTTTCCTGAATAATCAGGTCGAAGTGCAGTACTGTATAGTTTTGAGTAAAGATGTGTGTATGTTTTTAGTATTTACAAGAAATGTAAGTAAAATTAAATCAGAAAAAAATTCAACTAAGTGTAAGATGGTTAAGCTATTATAGCTCAAAGTGTAAAGTTTAGACACAGGAGAAGAGTAGCTGGTAGTAGAACATTTTCCTGCAAAGCCAATATTTTTAAATCAAAATGTGCTGGGATGTGTGTGACTGAAATGTTGCCTCTCTGCCTGGTCAAAATAGTAAAATAATCTCTCTAAATTAATCAGTGAAGAAAAATCAGAGACAGTTTGTTAAATGTATTTATTCATAAGAAACTACAAACAATCAGTGGTACCAGTTCATTAACATAAAAAAGATTAAAAACAAACAAACAGGAAACAGGACAGTTCATTTAACTCAAATAATTGTTAAAAATTATGAAGAAATTAACATTTTTAACTAAGGCTAATTAAAAATAACATTCTTGATCAAGCAGCTTTTAGTAAGTGAGAATTACTTAATTTTGTCATTTTTATTTGTATTGTGAAAACAAAATATCTATAAAAAAGTTATTATATCGGTAATGTTTCTCTAAAATTTGATGTAATTAGTCTTAATTTAATTTTTGAAAGTTAAATGGTTTTACAGCGCCGATATAATATAATATAATATAATATAATATAACATAATATAATATAATATAATATAATATAAATCAGAAACTTTACTTTATCGCCTCCTTGTGGATTTTGTTTTTCTGACGACGCGGAACGTGGGGTCAAAGTTGAATCATGACGCAAGCACGTAAACAGAGACGCACTAGTTGGAAAACGTAACTAGCCGGATGAAGCATGTTGTGGACAAGTTTTACCTGAATTAAGTCACTTATCTGACCCGGACGGACTTCAGTACGCGAATAATCGGCGGAGGCGTGCGATGGATCCGTTCAGTATAGTTGCGGATGAAGTGGCTTTGGAGGGACTGGACGGAGTAACGATTCCCTCTCTGTGGATACGACTGGAGACTAGACAGCCCCCGTTTCCCCTGAAGCTCGACCACTGCACCAAGGAGCTCGTCTGGAAGTCACTGATCAGCAACACCGACCTGCACTTCTATGAGCTCCCGCAGGAGAGAGCGGATGTTGTGCTGTTTGACAGGTGAGGGTTTCATCCTGCCCAGGTTTTAATGTGATTATTAAATGTTGTTGTTTTTTTCTTCCCCTGCTTAAAGATGAACCACAGACCCTGTTAATGTGTTTGGTCTATGAGGTCCAGCTAACCTGCATTAAGTCCTACCTTAATGAAGTTTATAATGCTCTGTTTGGATGTGTTGGTTCAACTTTATGGCCATTCATTTAGTTTTAGAGGCCAATATTGTGGTTTTTCTTCCACTACAATTATTTAACAGCTGTAGTTACTACTTTATAAAATCCTGTTTTAACATACAAAACATGTAAAGTTAATTTAATTACCCAATAGTGTATAAAAACAATCTGATATTGATAACATTTCGTGGTTTCAGCTTCTTAAAATGTGGCTGCTCTTGTTCAGAGATCATTTCGAGGTTTGAATCGTCGGTGGGACAAAACAAGACTTGATTGATTTGAATTTTGACTATACTATAGAATTAACTATATTAGTTGTACTATATTTATTTAAGGATATACTTTATACAAAGCTCATACCCATTGCTGTTTTTTCACAGTTTGTGTTTCCATTGTAGGGAAATCTAAAACCAGCAATGTCTTCCAACATCAGTGGTACAACCTCACTAATTCTTGTAAATCCTCGTAGACAGGTTCCAAAATCTGGTGGAAAGTCTTCCCGAAGGTTTTGTGAAAAGTGTTTGATATACATAGTATATACAGTCTTCTTCTTCACTAGGATATTTCGTATGTTGCACAGAGTTTAGACACCCTGACTTAGATTTGTGTGTTTGCACCTGTGTGTGTATTTTCAGGTTTAAAGACATCGACCAAGAAACAGGCTTTGACACAAAACAGACGATTTCTGAAACGTGGAAAGACGTCTACCCAGTTCATATTATTCTAGAAAACAAGGATGGGATTCAGGGATCGTGTGCTCTCTTCAAACAGAGGACAGACGTCACGAAGCATGTCCGCTCCAAGTCCCTCAGCCCATTAGTCAACTTGGAGGAGGCTTTGGAAAGGTCTGTAGAGTTTGTTTGATGGTATATAAATGTATCCAACCACACACTGCCTACGTGAACAGTCATTGTGAGTATAATGCAGTGATTCAAGCATTGTGCATTTAAAAGGGATTATCTTTATTTAACTGAAACACTGAGTCACTTGAACCATGAAAACTCTTTCACTTGCAGTTTTGGCAACATTGTCCACATTGTTAACTTTTAGCTGACCCTACTCACAATTAAAGTTTTTTTTATTGAAGCAAAAGAAATAATGGGCTTGAACAGACTTTATCTTGTCATAACATTTTGGTCAGCAGACCTGTTTATTTAAAAAAGTCTTTAAAGCACAAATATAAATATAGTTTTCTGATTCAATGCGTGTTATTACAGATTATTCTCCTCACATCTGGATATACACACGCATGTATGTGTCTGTGTATACTCTTGTCTCTCTTAATGTAAGCAGCATTGTCCCAAATATCTAGGCTTAGACCACAAAATGTATTCAGTATTAGTAGTTTAAACTAAACGGAGCTCTTTTTGGTGAAAATTGAATGTAAATGCAGTTGTACAATTGTCTTATGTCTCTCGTGTTCCCCCATCTCTCTCTAACCCATACCTCCTCAGATATGGCCGACAGCTCGTTGTCGTGGCGTCTCAGGCGTTGCGATTCAGGACCTTGATTGGTTCTGAGAGCGATCCTGATTTGAAACTCAATGACGACTCTTACTGCGTGTTGGAACGAGTGGGCCGAGCTCGATGGCAAGGAGAGCTACAAAGAGATCTGCACGGAAGCTCTTTCAAGTAGGAGACACACACACACACACATACACACACACACTCGTTTAGCACAGTCTCGTTGCTGCTTTGTGTTTACTCTGTGTTACGCGCCGCGGTTTAGATGTTCACTGTGTAACAGCCAGTGTTGTGTTTGAACAGGATCGATGCTCGAAAGTTGCACTACATGAGGAAGTCTCTTGTCAAACATGGACTCATCAGCATGCAGTCTTATGCCACACGACTGAAGTCAGGACAACAGCAACACTCCATCCTTCTGCTGCTCAAACGCTTCCACGTAAACAGGTCTGTTTATGGTCCGGGTTCTCTTTTCTAATTCTCAACACTCTTCATGTTGTACATATAGACAAGAGAGGGAGAAACAGCATGCTATGCCTCCATTGCAGTTTCTCTGATTTGTGTTAGGTGAAGTCTCGGGCTAGGTATCAAACCTCAATACTTTATATCCATGTTAGTAATTGTAAGTGTGATGATCTGTGTGTCCACCACTTCGATCCAAACTGAAATATCTGGATTCAAATGAAATTTTGTGCAGACATTCGTGGTTCCCAGAGGATGAAGCCCAGTAATGATCCCTTGACCGTTCCTCTCCACTGCCACGAGGTTGACATTTGTGATTTTGAGTGAATGTCTCAAGAACTATTGGATGGATTGCCATGAAATTTAGTCCTCTGGGGATGAACTGCTGTATCTTTGGTTTGTTTTATCTTTTCATTTAGTGCCACCATCTGGTCAGAATCTTAATTTGTCCAATACTTTTGGTTTCTGACCAAATTCTTGCAAATAGTAATGACGTTCCCGTCAACCTCAGCTGCGCTTTGAAAATGTCACCATGCTAACACGCATTAAGGAGAGAGGGTGAACATAGTATTAGTTTAAGTTCAGCACCACTGTGTTTGACAAAGCAGCTAGAACAGCTGCAGACTCTTAGCTTTGTTTGGGGTTAAAACATGTCCAAAGTATCATAAACTGAACAGAAC